CAACAAAATACTTTCATGGTTGGGGGTCATCACAACACAAGGAATGTATTAAAGAGTGGAAGCATTAGGAAGGTTGAGATCCACTGCTCTAAAGGATTTCATGTTGCCCAGACTGACATGAAACTTGTTACATAGCTCAGTAGCTGAAGCTGGCCTTCAACTTCTGGTCTTTCTTCCTCTACCTCCCAAGTGCTGATATTACAGATATGGGCACCATGTCCGGTCTTGCATTTTTTTCCTTTTAGATAAGGTCCCATGTGCCTCAGGTTGTCATCAAACTCAACTTCTCATCCTCCTGCCTCTACCTCCAGTGTGCTAAGATTAGAGGTATATGCCTCTATCCCACTTTATACAGTGCTGAGGATGGAACCGAGGGCTTTGTGCATCGAGGCAAACACTATAGCAAATTAAGCTACAACCCAAGTTACCTCTCTCTCTCTCTCTCTCTCTCTCTCTCTCTCTCTCTCTCTCTCTCTCTCTCTCTCTCTCACTATCTCTCTCTCTCTCACTATCTCTCATCTATCTATCTATCTATCTATCTATCTATCTATCTATCTATCTATCTAAGGAGGTAGGGCCCTACTCTATTGTCCAGACTAGTCTTAAGCTCCTGGACTCAAGTGACCCTTCTGTTTTAGTCTTTCAAATAGAACTAGAAGAGGTACAGGACAGTCTGGCAAAAAGCCAAACTATAATTTCTTTTCTTTCTTTCTTTTTTTTGTTTTTTTGGTTTTTCGAGGCAGGGTTTCTCTGTATTGGAAGCTGTCCTGCAACTCTCTCTGTAGACCAGGCTGGCCTTGGACTCACAGAGATCCACCTGCCTCTGCCTCCTGAGTGCTGGGATTAAAGGCGCACACCACCAAAACCCGGCCAAGCTCTGTAATTTCTTAGAAAAACGTATTAACAAATGCAGGCCTGTTGACTCACACCTGTAACTCCAGCCTGCAGGAAGCTGAGCAACACTATGATCCAATGGATGATCCCACATCTACAACTATATGAACAGCACAAATTGAAGTCAATGAGTATTAACAAAAAAAAAACTGGACATGGTGGGTGCATATCTTTATTCCCCCAAACTTCGGAGGCAGAGGCTGGAGGATCTCTGTGAATTCAAGGCTAACCTGGTTTACAGGGTGAGTTAGTTCTAGGAGTTCCAGGAGAGCCAGAGCTACACAGAGAAACTGTCTCAACCAACCAAGAGAGAGAGACAGAGAGACAGAGACAGAGAGACAGAGAGACAGAGAGAGACAGAGATGTGAGGTGTTGGGGTTGAATGTGATCAAAACACATATTGTATGAAACACTGAAATAATAAAATATTAAAAACAAAAAACTCAACAATAACAAACAACTCCACCAGATATATATTAAGTAATAAATAATTCAATGACTGTACATTACACCTGGCACATAATAAGTGGGCAGAAAATGTTAGTATTATCTTTAAGCTGCCAAAGCAAGTTCTCAGAACCCAAATGCCAGCTCACAATCCCACTGTAACTCCAGTTCGAAGGGATCTGATGTTCTTTTCTGTCTTGCACAAGCACAGAGCATGCAAATGGTGCACAGATACAGTGTCTTAGTTAGGGCTACTATTGCTGCAATAAACTCCATGACCCAAAAACAAGTTGGAGAGGAAAGTATTTATTTGGCTTACATTTCCACATCATTGTTCATCATCAAAGAAAGTCAGGACAGGAGTTCAAACAGGCAGGAACCTGGAGGCAGGAACTGATGCAGAGGCTACGGAGGGGAGCTGCTTTCTGGCTTGCTCAGCATGGCTCGCTCCACCTAATTTCTTATACAACCCAGGACCACCAGCCCAGGGAAGGTACCACCCATGATGAACTGGGTCCTCACCCATCAATCACTAATTTAAAAAACACCTTATAGCTGGATCTTATGGAGGCATATTCTCTCTCTCTCTCTCTCTCTCTCTCTCTCTCTGTCTCTGTCTCTGTCTCTCTCTCTCTTACACACACACACACACACACACACACATTAGCCTATTTATTGCAGGTTAGGCAAGTATCAAATAAATGGTAGTGCATCTGCTGGTCTTTCAGTTCCTTCAGACTTCTAACAGCAGACTTGACTGTGACAGAAGTTGTAGGTCCATTGTTTCCATGCAGGAACAGACAGTGCCAGATGCCAAAAGCTCAGCTCTTCATCTTGGTCTTTCCACAGAAGGAGCAAGCATACTTGGCATGCTGGCTGGTTTCAATTTTCTTCACAGTTTTCTGGAGGGAAGGACCAGAGAGGGTTTCATGTTTCCCAATGATCACGACCTTCTTGGTGTGTTTTAGCCATGTCACTGGAACCAGCAGTTTCTCAGGTGAGGTTCCCAAGTTTTAAATAACTCTAGCCAAGCGGACATAAGATTAGCATGCATTCAGGCAAAACATCCATATAATAACAACAATAATATTAATAGAACAATAAAATAACAATAATACAAGGAAAGGTATAGTTGGTTTTTTTACTCCTTGAGGGCCCACCACCCAGTTCCCAAATAAATGCATGGAGATTTATTCTTACTTTGAATGCTTGGCCTTAGCTTGGTTTATTTCTAGCCAGCTTTTCTAACTTAAATTATCCTGTTTCGTAGGTGGAGTTTCTTTGTGTCCTGCCTGCTGCTCCCATATAACCACACAGAGACTTAATATTAATTATAAATGCTCAGCCAATAGCTTAGGCTTGTTTTTTAGCTAGCTCTTATAACTTAAATTAACCCGTTTCTATTAATCTATGTGCTGCCCTGAGGCTAATTTACCTCGTGTAAGTACTTCCAATCCTGCTCACTCACTTTGTGTCTCATGGGGTCTCCTCATGCTCCACCCTTCTTCTTCCCAGCATTCTCTCTGCCCCTGAAAATCTTGCCTAGCCAATGGGTCAATCAGCTTTTTATTAACAATGAGAGCGAAACATTTTCACAGTGTACAGAAGGATTATTTCACAGCACCTAGCTATGTTTTGCCTCTGGGCTTTTTAACTTTATTCTACGTATCTTTTTTTCCTCCTTACTCTGTGGCTGGCTGTTTGGCTGAGTGGCTGCCCCTGGCATCCTTTTCTCCTCCTTTTCTTGTTCCTCGCTGTTCCCTAGATTTCTCCTATTTCTCCTCTCTGCTTGCCAGCCCCACCTATTTCTCTTTCTTGCCTAGCTATTGGCCATTCAGCTCTTTATTAGACCAATCAGATGTTTTAGACAGGCAAAGTAACAGGCTTTACAGAGTTAAAACAAATACAACATAAAAGAATGCAACACATCTTTACGTCATTAAAGAAATATTCTACAGCATAAACCAATGTAAACACATCTTAAACTAATATTCCACAACAGGATAGTGCTCAGATTAGATAGCTGTCCATCAGTAGAAAAGGTCAAACCTAGGTGAGTGTGAAGGCGTGATGACACACACCTGTAATCCCAATACTTGGGAGGCAGAGGCAGGTGAAATTCTGTCAGTCAGAGCTACTTAGTGGAACCCTGTCAAAAAAACAAAAACAACCCCTCCCCCACAAAAAAACAGCCAAATTTTCATCTTGTCTAGTGAGATGTTACCACTACTTCCCTTCTTAGCATGTTAACTATAATTCATTTTATATAGAATTTTTTTCTCAGCTCTGTCCCAAAATTATAAGAAAACCTCTGATAAGCTTGAATGCACTTTTAGGAATTTTCTAGAGAAGATTTCAAAGGATAGAGTGGTTTTGGATTTTTCTAGGGACTGGGAACTGTGGGATGGGTGAACCAAATATATATGGGTGTTGAGAATTGAACCCAGGTCCTCTGGAAGAGCAGTCAGTGTTCTTTTTCGGGAGGGGGGGGAGGAGGGGTGGACGATAGTGGTTCAAGACAGGGTTTCTTTGTGTGTAGCTCTGGCTGTCCTGGAAGTCGGTCTATAGAACAGACTGGCCTTGAACTCACAGGATCCTGAGTGCTGGGATGAAAAGTAGTCAGTGTTTTTAACCACTGTCTCACTGTGTAGTTCTATCTGGCCTAGAACTCTTTTGTTGTTGTTGTTTTGTTTTTTCGAGGCAGGGTTTCTCTGTAGCTTTGGAGCCTGTTCTGGAATTCGCTCTGTATACCAGGGTGTCCTCTAACTCACAGAGATCTGTCTGCCTTTGCCTCCCTAGTCCTAGGATTAAAGGCGGTGCCACCATGCCCAACTACAAACCCTCTCCTTTACCCACTCAGAACAGTTTCTGATTGCTCTTTGCCTTGGTCCTTATTCTCTCTGGTCTCCAAATGCCCTAATATCCTATTTCTCCTTGAGACAAAGGGAAAAAAAAGTGTAGTGGGGATTGTCCATGTAAGTGCAATACCCTCCTCCACCCCAGGCCGAAAAAATGGGTGGCAGACTCCCTGGAGCTGAACAGTGGGACATCGGAGCTGGGAAGTGAACTCAGGTCTTCCACAAAGAGTAGGAGCTCCTAACTACTGAGCCATTTTTCCAACCCACAGAAAAAAATGTATATTACATTAAAATATTTATTTATTGGGTATGCGTGCATGTGACAACGCCGCACATCCTGGGGATATAATTCTGGAGACCTTGGTTTGTCTAGTTAATGGCTGGTTAGCTCTAACGGTGAACTCTCCTTGAGGTTGTAGGAATGACCCAAGGCAACTACAGCAGCTGTGGATATCTCGCAGGACCTAATGGGGGCGCTAGGAATCCGGATTCGGTCAGGACTCTACAGAAAGGCCAATGCTAAGGGCTGGAGAGCCATAGCACCCCCTACAGCCAGTGTGGATCAGAGGCGGACGGGATCACGTGGCCTCCTCCTACCAATAGCAAAGTAACAAACGCTTCCTGCGGTCCCCATGGAAACGACACCGCCCCCAATGACCCTCCCGCCCCTTCCCTTCTGTGGTGAGGTTTTGGCCTTTCATTGAATATTCCGGGTGACAATCAAATGCCCACTCCTTCTGGCTGGACAGTTCGCTTCCGCGACACGAGAGACCACGCTGAGTGGTCAGTACGCGAAGGCTGGCTTAGCCTTACCCAATGTTGCTCTTCTGGGGCGGGGCCCGGTGAAGACTCAGGGCCAATCAGCGGCGACGTCGCTTGTGCGACTCCACGTCGGCAGCAGCTGCGGTCAAGATGGAGGCACTGATCTTGGTAGGAACTGGAGGGCCGGTGGCGCCGCCGTGGTGTCCTTAGGGTCCGGGAGGCGGGGTTTAGCAGCTGGGGCCGAGAGAGGGGAGTTCCGGGCCGGCTTCGGGGGCCGAAGCTCCCGCTGTCCGATGAATGCGAGTGTGGCCTACATGGGAACTAGAGCTGCGGTTCGGAGTAGGAAGCCTTGCCGCGAAGAGGGCAGAGTCGGTGGCAAAGTTGAAGAGAGCATGCGGGGTCCTTAGGACAGTTCTGAGTGTGCTGGATGGGGTCCTTCAAGCTCTCCCAAGTGGTTAGCCTTGTGGATCACACCTGTTTGAATTTCCCAAAACCATCATGTATTCCCCCCCCCCCCAAGTTGCAACAACAGCATAGAGGTGTTCTGTCAACCTCAGATATGCCTGGATAATTCGATTATCCATTGGTAATTCCCTGTCATGTTCTCATTGTTTCGTTTTCCTTCGCCTATAATTCTGTCATCATTGAGAATCAGCACTCCCAAGTTCTGGAATACCAGGTAGAGCTAGTGTAGATTTTGGAATATTTTTCCTGACTCCTTATTCTGTCCTCCTTTTCCCTCCTCCTTCAGACTTTAGGAACTCGTAGTGCAGGGTCCATCGTCAGGCTTCTTCCTCTGGTTACATGAGAATTGTGGCTACAGGAGTGCATTAACTCTCTGGTCCGTTGGTCATTTCTCTCCCTCCCTCCCTCCCTCCTTCCGTGAAGCCCCAGGTATCCTGGAACTTACTTTGTAGAGCAGGCTGGCCTGAAACTCACAAAAGTTTGCCTACCTCTACCACCCAAGCGCTGGGATTAAAGGGGTGTGTCACCACAGCAACTTGCTTTAGTTTTTTGAGTGAGGGATTCATATAGGTCATACTGGAATCAGCTTTGCCACAGAGCCAAGGCAGGCCAACATGCCCACCTGGCATTTATGTGGAGATTTGAACTCTGATTTTCACATTTGTATGGCAGACACTTTCTTTCAAATGTCAAAGAGAATTTATTCTCATTATATGGGTTGGACAATTTGAAGCAAAATGCTTACTGTCTTGATTAGTTTCAAGTACTTACTATACCAGTCAGTTAATGAATTTTTTTACATCTGACAACAGATGTGGATAAAGTCTGTGGAACTGGTTTCCTTGGATGTTTGTTTTTTTACTTTTTAAAACAGGTGTGGTGGTTCACACCTATAACCCCAACTGAGGTTTGAGGCTGAGGCTATATTGCTGCTAGTTTGAGGCCAGCCTGGACTATAGAGTAAGAACTTATCTCGTAAAACCAAAATTAGCTGGGCGGACACCTTTAATGCCAGCACTTGAGTGTCAGAGGCAGGCGGATCTCTGAGTTCGAGACCAGCCTGGTCTATAGAGTGAGTTCCGGGGCAGCTAGGGCTGTTACACATGTAAACCTACTTAGAAAAATAAAATAAAACAACCAAAATTAATTTAGTGAAACCAGCTTAAAGAAGGAGGAAGGTGCCAGGTAGTGGTGGTGCACTCGGGAGGTAGAGGGAGGCTGATCTCTGAGTTCGAGGCCAGCCTGGTCTACAGCGTGAGTTCCAGGACAGCCAGGGCAACACAGAGAGACCCTGTCTCAATAACAAAGAGTGAGGAAGGTGACACTTGAGGATCCCTTTTAGCATTGGCTCTGTTGGGCTGAACGTCGTGTAACGCTGAGAGCACATGGTCTAGCTGATTTAAAGGTCCTATATTTGGCCCCTAGCGCTGGGAGAGTGGAAGTTATGTGGGGTAATCTGTCATTTCTCTTTCTTCTCTGTCCCTCTTGTGCTGTGGTCTCTCAGCCTGCTTCTCCCTCATTCTTACACTTCAGCAGAGCTGACCTGCTGTATGCAGTAGCAGGTCCTTGCTAACTCGCTTGGATCTGTCTTTACTTTAAAAACTATTCTGAATTGTTGCCACTAGCACACTTTTCAATGAAGCAAAGTACCAAAACTCCATTCTGTTTCAGTTTCTTTGTTCTCCCAGAACAAATCTCTGTTTTGGTTTGGTTTGGTTTGGTTTTTCGAGACAGGGTTTCTCTGTACCTTTGGAGGCTGTCCTGGAACTCTCTCAATTAGACCAGGCTGGCCTTGAACTCACAGAGAGCTGCCTGCCTCTGCCTCCCGAGTTCTGAGATTAAAGGCGTTAGCCACCACCACCTAGCCAAATCTTTGTTTTTTGAGACAGTCTCCTTATGTAGCCTGGGATGGGCTTGCATTTGTAATCTCTTACCCTCACCAAGTTTCTCTGATGTTTCTATAGGTTCTTAAACTTCTTCAGTGTGTGAAATTTTCCTTAAGTGATCAGTTTTATTGAGAATAAAATACAACAGGTAGCTGGGGGTGGTAGCTCCTGCCTTTAGTCTCAATACTTGGGAGGCAGAGGCCTGTGGATCTCTTTGAGTTTGAGGCTAGCCTAGTCTACAGAATGAGTTCCAGGACAGTCAGAATCATGTAGAGAGTTCATGTCTCAAAAATCAAACTAACAACAAGCTGGACAGTGGTGGCAAATACCTTTTAATCCCAGAACTCGGGAGGTAGAGGGAGGCTGATCTCTGAGTTCGAGGCCAGCCTGGTCTATAGAGTGAGTTCCAGGACAGCCAGGGCTACACAGAAAAAACAAACAAGCAAATAAAAAACCCAAAATCGTGAGTGTACATGCAAATATATATACCTTCTTCTCACCTTGGGCCTCAGGCGTGCAGGTGATACACACATACACAGGCAAAAACAGCCATCCACATAAAAGAAAGCATTGCAGCCTTAGCTCATGATCTTGTCTAATCTTCCTTCAGTCCCTTTGACTCTGAGTTCCCACCCTGTCCTGGCCTCAGCCTCTGCTGCTGGCTCTGCTGGCTCTCCTCTTCTCAGTTGTTAGTGGAGAGGAATCTGCAGGTCAACATTCTCCATTTATAATCTGGAATCTTAAAGTTAATAAGTTATGCTTTTCTTCGGCCTCTGCTATCTTTTCACCCTCAAAGCTGAATTACTATAACAGTTCAGATCTTTAAGACCTTTGTTCATAGATTTTTTTTCCCTCCTATTTCCAGGTTTTAATTTCTGAGTGCTTTTTCCAGTGTCTTATAGATTAGACCTCAATTTTATCCATTGTCTTCCCTTAATATTTTATCCTAAAACTGACAAAATTCTGATTCCCATGTCTCATTCAAATATCAGCCATCTAAAGTGCACTAGGATGTGCGTGTATCTAGAGGAGGAAGCTGTGGGACACATCAATGACTCAAAGGTTGATATTGTCTTAGTGGCCTTTGCTTCCTGAATCATCTTAATGGGGCTTTTGTTAAATTCCTTTGGCACTAACAGTAGAGGTACTTGGCCTAAATGCTCCCTCCCCCTGCTTTGGGCAAAGGTATCAATTACATTAAGCCCCAAGCACTCCCATCTCGTTCCTGGCAGTCCCCTGTGCCTCTCTCCCAGCTGTGTCCTTGCTGATGCTTGGCCCCTCCATTTCGTTAGGAGAAGCAATCTCCTCGCTCCTGCGCTGTGGAGATATATTTCTCAGCCAGGGCTTGAGCAGTGCCAGCACTGCCCCCGGTGAGGTCCCTGGCAGCCATAAAAATTTTTATTGTGATTATGTTGGTGTCGGGGTGTCCATCTGGGTTATTGCACACCTAGTTTAATTGATTGAAGTTTAATTTATTGACACTTCAAATTAAATGATCAGAATAAACTGTGCTGTTACTCTGGCCGGCTTGTTTTAATGGTTGATTGCTGGAAGCAGACCTTGGCTTGAACTAAAACCCCCAAAGAGTAATTGACGCTGCTTCTAACTCTCCCCATGTCTTGCCCTCCAAGAAGACCTCGTTATAGATTTCCGACATATTTATTTATATATTTTTTCCCTCTCCTTCACAGTGGTGGGAAAGAGTTGGTCCCTGGCAAGGTATAAATTACATCAAAGGTCTAGGGGAACCATCACATGGTCAGAAGGGGAGGAGGAGGCCTCTACATAAAGAAAACCAGACCCTGGAGAAGCCAGGTCCTCCCTAGGAGGCAGATTGTAAGTGCATTTGCCTACCTGTGTGAGGGGGCCTCAAGGCCAGCTAGGCTCTTTCTCATCTAAGTTCTTGCTGCTGTTCTTATTCCATTGGTATGACTTGGCTTGATATTGGCAGGGAACTGTCAAAAAAACCTGTCACTTCTGTCACCTTTATTTCTTCAGAAAAGTCTTTTGTGTAACTTATATGCCTCAGGTAAAGCTTATCCTGGTGCTGGGGATGTAGCTCAGTTGGCAGAGGGCTTACCTAGCACCCCATAATCGGGCCTGGCTGTTCACACCTGTACTCTTAATACTCTGTAGATGGGAACAGGAAGGTCAGAAATTCAAGGTCATTCTCAGCTACATAGGAACTTGAAGCCAGGCTGGAATACATGAGACCCACCCTCACCCCCAAAAGAAATCAAAGGAAGTCTCTCTCTTACTGGCTTTTCCCCCTTCCTCCTCAGAGTCAGTGTACATGACTCCATTTGTACCCAATTGTTCTGAATAAGCTCTGTCAACCAGTTATCCTCAACTCCTTTGTGTATGTATGGGGGGTGCACCCTAAATATATAGTTCAGGCTGTTATCAATTTATGATCCTCTTGCCTTGTCTTCCTGCATGTAGGAATTATGGGTATGTGCCTATCCGTCTTTTCTGCTGTGTAATTAGACTGACTGAGGAACTCTGAGGCTGCTTGTCTAGTCTTTAGCTCTTTTTTAGGGAACAGCTGCAAGAGGGCAGCGGGATTAACCATGATTTACACTATGGCCAAGGATGCACCAGAAATGGATCTGTAACTCCCAGCGCCGAGGAAGCTGAGACAGAAGGACTCCTGGCCTTGAGGCCAGGCTGACAACTGTAGTAAAATCTTGCCTTGAAAAAGAAGTGAAATTCCCATTAAAAAATTAAGACTTATAATACAGAGAAACCCTGTCTTGAAAAACCAAAAAAAAAAAAAAAAAAAAAAAGAAAGAAAGAAATTAAGACTTGGCTGAAGCC